CGGGGTGGAACGGGTCATTGGGGAGAAAAAGGGACATCTGTAATATTTTAAACAAAAATAAAATTTAAAAATTAAAAAAATAATTGGGAAACTTAATACTACCTAATTATTTAATACAAGACCAGGTGCCCACATTCAGCATTTCAATTATATAAAATAGATTCTAATCAAGTCTACTTTTTATCTTTAACTTTTCCAAAATAGATGAAAATTTAGGGCAATACTAGAAAACATAATATCCTCTCCCAGTTTACAATATGATGATGATAAGACGATGGCGGCTTCCATCATAAACATTATAAAGGTTGTTTACTTTATGCCTGATACAATACCAGGCACTTTGCATTTCATATTTATTTAACCCTCACAACAACTCAATTAGGTACTATTATGGTTCTCCATGTACAGATGAGAAAACTGAGTGAGGTCTAGAGAGATGAAGCACCCCAGGTCACAAAGCTATGAAGAACAAAGCTTAGGCTGGAAGTCAGCTCTGTGATATCCTGTCATTCCTAAGTCCATGTGTGTATACCTAGAAATGTTAAGATTAAACTATTCATGGTTGACACATGTAATTTTAGAAGCTTTGTATTTCAAAGTGCAGAAAAGCATTTCATAAAGTGAAATGACCACACAATGAGAAGTTACTGTAACTTTTATCCTTTCTTATTACTTGTGACTAATAACATACAATTTTAGAGCTGGAGACTGCAGAACTCATTTAGTCAGCAGTGTCACTTTTTAAAATGGAAGTTATTCAACTTAAAAGCAGTAGCCACCAAGTGTGCTGACACCACACTATGGAATTTAACCCCATTTCTTGTGTGCATGGGTGCGCTAGCTTGCTATTTTTAAATTCCAATTTTCAAAAAATATCTATTCAAAAAATTTAACACTGAGCTAATAATATTCATTTGCTTAGAACTCTAAAATAGTAGGAATTTCCCTAATAATCAAATTATTACTAAAAACGAAACTGTCCTCTCAGTTACTTGAAATAGTATACCCATACTATAATACTAGACTTGGTGACAGATACATGTCTTTTTGATGATTGCTTAACTCTTAATAAATGCTAAAGTATGTCATAACATGTATTTAAGGTTGCCTCTTCAGAGGCCTGGTAATTCAGATAGGCTTTAAAAAAAAATTTCAAAACGACCTTGCTATTTACCACATTTCTGATCAGATGGAAGAAATTACTTCACATGAGGCTTGTGTCATTTAAACTGCTGTGAAAAGAATATGTAGATATATTTGACTTTATTAACTTGATAATATTACATATTAACAATATATACTGTACTCAAAAACTCCAAGTGTGACACTGGCTCTTTCCTTCTATTCTGCAGTATTTTAACCAAAATTTAGTTTTTAAAAAAATTCAAGAGTAACAAAAATTAGATGTTACCTTTTTAACACCAATTTGGACAGCTCTCTGTATTACATCCTGTAAGTCATCTGTAAAAGATGGATCCCAAAGTAAGAGGACCTGGTAAATAACAATCCATTTATCTATAACTTACATTTACTAAATCAAATCAATACTATTTGACAAGTACTTACCCTATAATAAGAACAGAGTTAGTGATAACCTTAGAAAAAGAAACCTGTATAAGGCAAAACTAGACGAAGTTATTCATTTAATTGTATTTTTATTCTGTTGGCCAAAAGGGTGAAAAGTGACAAAATTCAGAGGTCCAAACTAAAGATGAATTTACTGACTACAATTTAAGTTATTTGCCTTGAATTTCAAATTTGTTGGTAAATTTTTAAAAATTAAAATATAATAGACAATCATTAAGGTTATTTTTACTATGGCCTTTTAGAGTATACCTGCAATGCCTTCCAAAATATAACATCTATTTTTAAATTTTAGTTAATGCTGTATTTCTATAATTCCCATTCCCACTGAGGAAGGCTAATTTTTTATTTTCTCTACAGCTGTTTTTTGCTTTTTTCCTAAAATTTATTAAGTAACATACTTTTTGGGGAAATCAATTGTAATTATTAAGCTCTGAGAGGCCTATATCAAAATTAAAGTTATGTCATAAAAATCAAATTCTTAATTTCATATTTAAGCATCAGAGTAAATGTGATTGGAATTCAATTACTATTACTTCTAGAGTAGCTATAAAATTTATTTTAGACAAAGAATATCAACTTAGTGCTAATTATAAACTAGAGTAATACTAATATCATAAACACACATACACAAACATGCATATGCACAGTCACAAAGCATGAAATCTAAGTGCTAAGAGGCAAGGAAAGCAGGATGTAATTTATTCAGTTTTCTAACTGTACTATGTAAGTAACATCATCTAACCTTCTAAATGAAGTAGAAAAGTTAAGTTTTGAGGTAAGGCTTAGGAAAGTTAACATTTACCTTTCTTTGTTTAAGTGACAACTAACATTCCCTATATTTAGAGCTTTCACTTACTGTTGCCTAGAAGCACAGTAAGACCAGCTTCTGACTGAGCTTTTTGAAATGTGCAATTCCACATCATGCAGACTCACATAAGCAAATTTTCCTGTTTGCACTTACATAATAACAAATATAGTAATTTTCTGAGGCAATATTCACAGGCTAGTTTATTGGAGAAATTATGCTTTCAAAAACTTGTCACCATCATTTCCTGCTTAGTCACGTAGCTGACATAATAAGCCTTTTTAAAATGAACTTGATGTGATAAATGGAAAGCATTTTGCTTTGGGCTAAGCAATCTTTGAGGTACTACTCTTCCCACGTGTACTGTAGATGTATAAGATCTAGCAGGACTTGGTTAGAAAGGGGGAAAGGCAAGACAGGGAAGGCGGACTGTGGCACACCGCGCTCTAAATCACACTGCCACTCAGTCACCCAGCTGAAATGGCTGAGGAAAAACAGACATTATACTGATGTTCAACTGCACATGATTTTTAAATTATGTGCCTTACTATTTGATTGCCTGAAAGACTAAACATCAACTACTGTTTGGATCCTGTGCATACGGTTATTTAAAGTTTTATATTCAAAATTATAAACTACTACAGATAAGGGCTTAACACTTTGTTACAACAGGTGCTTCATAAGTGTTCATTATCACAGTTGATCAATGTAGCTTATAGCTATTTCACTTTGTTTAGTTTTATCCAAGATGCATATGTCCTTTAATATTTCAATTGTAAGAGTGGATTATGCTTTTCTAGATCTCCTTGAGGCAGACAATTTATTTTCATAGAGAAACTATTTTACCTTAATAAATCATTTACCTTGATGCTTTTGAAACCCCCTATAAATTCCTCTGAACATAGGGTCTGTCAAGTTGATACCAATATCTGTGGAAAGCAAAATTAAAATAAATGATTAATCATGAAGAGCCTCTATGTGAAACTTTTTCTTTAAATAAAAGCTCATTACTAAACTTTTCATCCTCACATTCATTCACTTCAACAAAATCTGAGTACCTGCAACCTGTCAGTCACTGGGCTACAAAGACAAGTAAGAGAGAATGCCTGCTGCCAAAAAACTGGGACCTGGGAAGGGAGACCCACCAACAAACAATTAAGAAACATTACAAGTAGACACTGGTTCTGTAGGACCCAGAAGAGGAATGCCCAACCTAGTCTAGCAGCTGGCCCAGAAGACGCTTCCAGAAAGGAGTCCCTGAACTGAATCTTAATGGCTGAGTTAGAGCTACCCAGTAGCAGAGGGGAAATTGCAGACGAGGAAGCAGCAGGGGCAAAGCATCTGGGGTGTGAAATAGCACAATTACAAACTACAGGCCATTCTAGCTGTTGGATAAAGGTATAGGGGAAGGAGGGTCTAGAAAAGGCCAGGCTCAACTACGTTACAGACGCTTGTCTTCACAGTGTCAGATGCAGCAAGAGGCACTAATGGTTCTTAAGCAGAGGAGTGAGATATACATCCTGACATGTTATTCTGTAGTCTCTGCGGAGGGCGGGATTCGAAGGGAGCAGCTAGAGTCTTGCAAAATAGGTAAGAGCTCACATTGCAGTGAAGAGAGCCTGGATTAGGGTAATGCAAGCGAAGGTGCAGAGAGAACACATTATTTACTTCCTTTACTCAAATATTTATGAAGACCAACTCTGTGCCAAATACTATGGTAAGGGGTTAGGGAACACAGAAATGAGAAAGACCCAATACTTAGCTCCTACCCTACAGAAATGTAGTCTATACAGGAACTAAAAATCTAATCTGTGATATAACAAGCTAGACTGTAAGCACCAAAAGGCAAGAAATATTTATCTTCATTGCTGTACCCCCAGAACCTAGCATAATGGTTGTGTGAAAGTAATATAAATGGAGCCACTTCAAAATGGAGTTGGAGTTGCCACCCAGAGGATCTGCCTGCACAGCTTATTCCTCAAAAACTTTAGAATACTGAAGCTGGACAAAACGACCTTTGGGCTGGGCCAAACAACAGTGTATGCCGAACAACTGTTAACAAGGCTAACAGGAAAGCAGAAGCCCCAACACTAAAAGTGAGACATTCTTTAGAATAGCACCACTATGTGCAGCTAAAGAATAACTTAGCTCGCCCGGCCGGGCGTGGCTCAGCGGCTGGGCATCGACCTAGGATACAGGCGATCAGGGTTCGATTTCCAGTCAGGGCACATGCCCAGGTTTCGGGCTAGCTGATCAATGACTCATCGTTGATATTTCTATCTCTCTCTCTCCCTCTCCTTTCCTCTCTCTGAAATCAATAAAGATATATTTTAAAAAATAATAATAAAGAATAACTTAGCTTATTTGAACCTACACAAATTCCTTCTTTGGCTTATTAACACCAACAAAAATTCCGTTCTTCTATTCTGTCCCCTTTGCCTTCACCCTGTAACTGGACCACTGTTTACGTTTCTGCCTGAATCAATGCTTCCCAAAAGTGCAATTTATTTTTTATTTCAAATAAGCACTTATTGCCTCTCACCTTGGATTTTCATTTTGAGGTTAACAGCACATAGTTAGCATGGAGCACAAAGTAGGGGCAATAACAGCTTTGGCAGTATGATGAGAAAAGCTTACAAAAGAGGTAATCTTGAAGCTAAGGCTAATGGAAAGGGCATTCTGCAGACAGATGTGCGTAGGTACGAGACTGGAAGAAATTCCCTGAGCCTGGAGAGCAGTGGTTCTCAATGGAGAGCTATTTTGCAGCCCTTTTCTTACTCTTCCCGCCCCCTAGATTTAGCAATGTCTATATTCATTTCCAGTAGCACAACCGGCAAAGTGCTACTAGCATCTAGGCTTGGGGCTATGGATGCTGCTAAATATCCTACAAGGCAGATACAAGATAGCCTCTCACAACAAAGAATTATCCAACCCAAACTTGATCCAAACTATCAAGTGCCACTCCTGATAAATCCTGCTAGAGAGTATAAGAACAGGAAGAACAAGGCATGAAGTCCTGTTGTGATAGTCTTGGCCAAATTAAAATGCCATCCTTATTAAAATACACACCCTTCAGCTTTTGCACTAGGAGAATCTCTAAGTTAGTGGTGGTAGAGAGAAAGCTGCCTACCAATAGACCCCTACATTATTTTTGCTGAGCTCCAGCTTCTTCTAAGTATATTCTCACTCTGCTTCTACCAAGCTGGCCCTCAGTGAGCTCTGCTACACCAACATTAAGACAGACCTTGGAAGATGAATCAGAGTTTGGATAATTCGAGAGATGGTGGAGAGAGTATTCCAGGCATTTGGAACAACAAGAGAAAGGCACAATGCAGAAAACTTCAAAGATATGCAAAAGCATGTATGTCAATGGAAGGTGGGAAATGAATTCACAAAAGGTTTCCTCGAAGGGTGTTAACACACAAATATCATTGAGTACTATAAAATACAAATTCAGTGGAATGGCCCAGATCACAGAAATCGGAATCTTCTTTTCATGAGGTTAGGAAATAAGATAGGGTCCTTTCTGCCTAGAATAATCCTTTAGGAGGGTCAGTCTAGTCATCCACCACTGACAATCATTAGGAACACTGAACCCATCTGCATCTCTTTTGCCCATTTCCTCTTTGTGCAGCAAAGGAATTAAAATTTTTCCAAAGCAATCTTTTCCTAAAGAACGAAGTAAAAAATAAATGAAACCGAAAAGCAAGCAAATCTAACAAGTAAACTTTCTTATACTAATTTTAAAAGTGAATTGAAGATTAGCTTGGAGGCTCAATTATGAAGCCTTTCCAATTTCCAAGTCCTTGTCTCAACTGTAATAGGAATGGATGCTAAATCCTTCAGTGCTTACCCAGGTGACCCCACTTCCTCTTACAACCTACCTCTTCCCAATACGGGTAAGTCTTTCAGCCCTAAGTCACAGTGTACTTCAAAGATCTATATTCAGCTTTGGACCCAGGTGAGCGTTGGGCTTTAGGATATAATGCACAGCCACCAATTTCTTCCCTTTTCTGCAAGAATCTCTTGTGACTTATAGCCCTAAGCCTTTTTCTTTCTGACATATGGTTTGTCTGAAGCGTATTCCTCAGCCAGCTACTAGAGCTGCTTTCTCCCCCCCCCCC